GTTATTTTAGCTTCGCTGTATATAACTTGTAATTCGATCCAGCGAGTATTTATCAGAATGATATTATTTTTAGAAAGAGACGCGAATCCAGCCGGAAAGCAGGGACAAAGATTTGGCGGAGCTGGTTGGCAAATGGCGGAACAACGGAGAGGCGCTTGAACCAAAATGGCGAGACGGCGATACGATACCGCTGCTTCCGTTCTCTCAATTCTCCCGATACACCAACAGCGAAGAGGAGGAGGACGATTACGAACGTCGCGAAATGGAGAAGCATCGTCAGAGCAACAACGGGCGAGAGAATTTCGTTCGTTCAAAGAGTAACCCTCAACTCTCTTACGACTACCAAGAGAAACACGAGTCGACGGGCGGGAACAGACGTGGATATCGAAGACGAGGAGTTCCGTTGCAAAAGGGAAATCGAGGCTGGACACGGGAAAATCTCGGTTTGACTGCGTTCGAGGAGAAGAAGGAAACGAACAATAGGAAAGTTGAACAAAGAGATGATTTTACGGAGGATAACGATGACAGAGGGCCAACGTCGAACAGATATCGAGAGTACTTCGAAACTCGACCGAATAACTACGAGTTCAACGACGAGGAATACTTGAAACCTCGGCCGAGAAAGAGGAGGCCTCCGCAGAATTACGAATTCGCTCTGTCCGAGAACGAGATGTCGTCTATGAACGAGAAAAGACCGGCGACTACTACGGAAAGTCATTCGGGAACTGCGTCAGGAGGCGGTCAATTTGTCCAGAACACCATGGAGCTGAAGTCCCTGTTGAAGATGCAGCAAGAAGAGGGTTTGAGCTTGTCCGAGGTATTGCAACGGAGGAATCTAACTCTAGACGACCTGCTGAAAGGCAAAACCGAAGTGATCAATGCTCTGAAGATGAAGGACGTCGAGGAGGAGGAAGGAGAAGATTATGTCGAGGAAGCGATCAAGATAATGTCCAATTCCTTGTCGAAACTCTCTACAACTACGAAGAGACCGGTGAAGCTGAAAAATTTTTCCAAAGATGAGGAACAACTCGTAATTTCGATCGTTCCCACGGGTCCTGGCTTGCCTAACAATCACACGAACGTTATAAAGGAATCCTCCTCGAGTGGTACGAGTATCGGTGAAATGTACTCGGAGGCTGGAGAAAACAGAACCGCTGGAAAATCGATTTTCACTAATGCGAAACATCCGCGAAACAGAGCTACCACAATGATTACAACATCGATGCCACCGGTTGCAACAAATTCCATGGAGCTATTGCAAGCCGACGACGCAGCTGCCGCCGTTAAATTACAAAGCAGTGGCGAAATCAAAGCCGAGAATCTCGACCAGGACGAAATTATGGAATTCTCCGATTTCACCGACTACAAGAAGGGACAAATCGGCGCGTCTCCTGTTTGGCTGACGATGCAAGACGAGTCTTCCGTGGAACATTTGAAAATTCACTTCGAGGACACGACGAGAGGCTCGACGTTGAGCATCGAGAAGATATTAAGTACCACCACCGAACGTTCAAACGCGACTAGTAATTTTTCAATAATCTCAGACAACGAAGAACAGTTTACCGACGAATCGATCAACAGCGACAAGGGTGTAAAGTTCGACGACGAAGAGGAACAAAGAGACTATTACGATACGTCATCCGAGAAAGAATATCAACGCAATACACCGACGATGATGTACTACGATTTCGAACAGAACACGCAAATCGGTAGCTCTATCGATAAGACTATAATACAAGAGATTAAATCTGCGTTGGACGCGATATCTGAAAATGGTAACGTTACCGTGAAGAATCACGAAAGCATTTCAAAGGAGCCACCGCCTAAAAATCATCAGGATGTAAATACGAGCGAGGAAAAAAGCTACGACGACGTTGTGTCGGAAGTGGAACCGGAAGCTCGAGCAGACATTTTCGAACTACTTACTTCTGGCTCCGCCGGAAGGAGACTCGAACGTCTGCTTAAATCGAGGAACATGAGCTTGGAGGAATTGATCGCGTTGAGACAGAGAGGCTTTAGTAAGGTTCATCTGGCTGACGTGTCGCGAATTAGAGCGCACAAGTTGAACGACGAATACCGAATAAAATTCACCACTCCGTTACCATCTAACGAGAATCATTTGCGACAGTCTACCGAAAGTGTTACAAGCAGTAGTGACCCGATACTAAAATCGATGAATTTCGTTCACCCTGAAGAAAGTAAGACCGAACGATTGTTCGACAATTTAGAAAAGTCTAGAACCAGTAACGAAGACGATGCGGTGAAAGAAAATGAGAAGGACGACATCGTCGAAGAAAGACATCGTACGGTACAAATTGTCGATCTATTAACAACTTTTGGTTCTCTGCCGTTCGCAAAGGACATTCAACGAGACTTCGCGGGCGAGTACAATAACGAAGATGAGAGGAAGTTATCTCCTGTAGAGAATAACACCTTCGACGTGGTGTTTGTAAAAGACAATACGGAAACGATACTTGGCAAGAACGATACTTCGAATGTTATTCAATCCGGTTTCGTTAAAGAGGTTGTTAAGCAAGAACCGAGTTCCGTTGATATTCAAACTGTTTACAGCGAAATGAGTAACGTTTTCGACAAAGAAGAGAATTCAGGTGAGAAGGGAAGGACTTTGTCGAAAGTGAAACCGAGTATAATAGCTAGTGGTGCTATCCTTAGCATGACACTTGTGGTTTTCCTGGCGATATTCATCATTTGCAGAATTCGACAGAAGCGGAAGTATAGGTATAGAAACACTTTCTCCAGAGCGGTGTTTCAAGGTCCAGTAATGGCGGCCAGGAAACTGTCCAATTCGAGCAGCTTAAGCACTGTGATGGTAAACGTGGTCGCTACATCGACCACCAAAAGATCAAACAAAGTCGAAACTCAGGAACCTACAAAAGACGGAGAAATGAACTCCAAGATTGACATCGACAACGATTCGCTAGACGCCAATGACAGCTGGGAGACCATACCTGATTACATGAAATGAACCGTGATACTGTCCTTTTTTTAGACAAAAGAAAAAAACAGTATTCCCATATTTATGTTAAGCTAAACCATACACATATCAAAGGCTGATTGTACACCTTCAGTTTATAAACTATACTTCGAACAAAAGACATGAAATGCTACCGAAAAATTGATCACTGGTTACCAATGAAATGTTTTTGTTAGAGTTTGCAGACTGATTTCACAGACAACGGCATTTTGTACATACGATTGCATAGAGCTTCTGATGACTTTTAATGTAACAGCTGGTGGAATTTAATGTAATTTAAAACATCGGTTAGTTAGTGTTAGCGCAACTCTTTTATATACGCTCTTATTTCGGAGTTGATCCCAATATTAAAAGATGTCAGAAGTTTGTCCAATATTCTAAACTTATCCTTTTAAATTGATGGACATAGAGTGAAGCATATTTATTTATATAGATAGCTCGTAAGTGAAATAAATTACCTTTTGTATAAAATAGAAAAGTATTGCAATTGTTATTCATTACTCACCAATATCTTTCATAAGTAAAAACATCCCTGAGTATAGCAGACACAGCATTATTGTTGTTTTGAAATACCTTATTAAAATAGGAATACTGTCTTGCTATACTTCTGCATTGTTTCAAAGCGACCTCTGCAACAAAAAAAAAATTAAAATTTTTTTATTATTTAGTATCTAAAGGCGAAACAAATTGAAAATTGAAATAGTTAAAATAATACGTTTGTTTGACGAATTTGCACAAACATTTACCTAAAGTAGGACTGCCTTTAAGTTCAACCATATCAGCAGCAGTCATGTATAACACAGTTGAATAAGTGATAGGAAGGATATCCAAATAAGGCTTCCATTTAGAATTTTCTTTGTGTCTCTCGATAAGGAGTGCGATCGCGAGTGCCACTTGAGGCATATGGTGTATCAATGGATCATTCTGAAGAGCAGTCAACTCTGGTGCTGCATTATGAATACTGAATATCAATCCCCTAGGTATCCTTAAAATTAACTCATTCTCATGGAAATTATGTTCTGCTTTTAAGCCTAAATCGTATCCAGGAAACTCCGACACGCTCGCTCCATTTACATTCGCGTCGTTCTCTTTAAGCCAATTTATAAATTGTCCAATCCCTTGGGATCGTTTTGGTAACTCTGTCTTCATTTCCTCCAACCGTTTAACCTTCTCCAAAATTGTTGATATCGCCACGTAATTGTCCCATAATTGCGTTACGTACGCTGAATTAATGCTCACTGTTTGGAGAAATAAATTATTAGTATTATTTTTAAAAGTAGACATAAAACATTGTTAAATAAAACGATTTTCTATTTTCTTAAAAAAAAAAAATGAGGTTAAGTGGGATACATATTCCACGATTCTTAGCGTTTAAACAATTTCACGTTCGAAAAATTATTTTTCATTCCGTATCGAAACATTTTTCTTTATCTTTCAACAATCATAGGAAAATTGAATACGGCTGTTAACATTGCACAGCTGTGTGTGTATATATGTATATACAGACACATGTACGATATATATATACGTACGCATGTATAAAAGTTATATATTCGTAAAAAACAAATACTTACAAACAAATAGTTTTTCGCACAAGGCATTTATCTCGTTTCTTTTCACTAAAGATAATTGCCTTTGAGGTGGAACGTGTTGTTTACTTTTACAGGACGCGTGAGATTTTCTTCTGCCCATGTTTGTACTATCTCACGGCACTGCCGTGACTTCTCCTCACATTTAGATACATTATAATGCGTAACGCGCGCCTACAACTGGCAAGAATAAACACTTTTTGTCGAAACGAAAATAGAATGTTGGACGCTCTACCTTCTTAGATTCGAGCAACATAACCACAAAACGACAGAGCGGAGCTACCTTCGTTCTCTATGTATCACTAACTCCACTGCACTTTATTGATTTTCAATTTCTGTCAGAGGTCACCTACTTTCGCAATTACACCAAATTCCGTGTCAGAATCACTCTTGATCATTCTTTTTTTTTGTTTCTCGGGAACAAACATGCCTATGACGCTTTACTCAACAAACTCAATATGTATTCAACATTAATATCAATTTTATCATTGTATTGCCATAACAACAAATAACTTTGTTTCATCATGATCAAATATATTACTAAGACGACATTTTTACGATATGATACGTCCCTTTAAAAATGCATACACTAACATACGAGCGCACGTTCATGTGTATGCATATTCATTAATTTAATTATCTCCCTTGTTTTTGTACTTCCCTTAAATTATTTAACAAATAAATATAATAGGGTAAAAAGTAATACATAAAGCATTAATGAAATAAGTTTCTTTTTTCCTTTTTTATATAAGATTTGTATTGTACAAAGTATACAAATAAACAGATGATTTGATGAATCTTTAGGAATAAATTTATATTGCCTTTATATTGTACCTATAAAGTTATCATTAAGGGGAGTCTAAAAACGTAGATTAATCATGAAATAGTTATCTATAAATGTAAAATAGAAGTTCAGTTTTTACTTTACCTCTTTGTACGTACATTTATAAATATACAAGCATATTATTCGTAACAGGAAATCATGAGAACTTCTATTACACGTCTACAATAACGGATATGTTAAATTGTACGAATCAAATTGTTAATAGTCGTAACACTTCCCGTTTTAACTATACAAAAAAGAACAAATAAAAATAAAGAATTACATTTTTTAAATGTGAAACTTAAAAAGTTACAAACAAAATAAAGATTTGGAGAAAGATTGAGATAATTTTTAAAATCATCCATTAGTTGTTTAACATTTATTAATTTGATATAAAATTATTTGGAATACTCTTATTAATAATTATCAAGGCTACTAACAGCCGTGAATATCTTTATATTTAATTCTATAAAATTCATGTTTCGTATTTAACATAAAAAATATTTTCTTTCATATATTTTAGTCGTTTACTAGCACATTTTTAGAACCTCCTTAATGTTTATAAATTATTCGGCTTGAGTACAACTAAAAATAATATAATAAAACAATTATTTGAATTTCCCCGCTGCAAAGTAAGGTAACTAATTTTAAATTTTTTTTACAAAAAGCAACGAACCGAAGTATTGGTGACAAGTACGACGTATTTAAAAATAACAAATTGATATAAATAATTCATATCGTATAATTAAAAAATATAATTTACTTAACACTACACACGAACTAATTTTCACATTACTTTAAAATTACTAACGTAATTCTTCTATAATAAAAATTTTGGATATTTTTTTCTTTTATTATTTCATTATAAATTTTAATTTTACATTATACTGTTATATCACTTATGTAAACAGTATGAAATAAATAATAAAAAAAGAATGAGGAAAGGAGAAACGAAATATCTAGAACATTTGATAGAAATTCAAATACCCTGGTTGAAAGGGTATTTGAAAGCAAGTTATCATAATTATGCAACTTGTACGAAGTACAAATAAATCACTATATCTTAATATTATAGTTGATCACGCATTATACAGAATCATAAGTATATAATATATGTTCTACAATATTATCCATAAACTTCGTATTTCTTTGCAGCGGAAAATTCGTATCTTAAATATTAAAGATACACATACAATTACAGTAATATATAGCATTATTTATACAGCCTAACCTCTAACTAGAGCCTTATAGACCACATGATTCTCTTCTTCACTGCTACCTGAATAGAAATTTATCGAAATCCACGTATCACGAAATTAAAACTACAATTTCTTTTCATTCAATGCGTTGTGTATGTCATAGGAGTTTTACACGTTTGTAAAAATTGGAAATTATATATAATTTATCCCCCTTAATAAATGTGTGCGATATATTTGTAAATCTTAACTTCATATAATTATTTTTAACATTTACATCTTTTGTTTGTATTTCAGGCATTTCTGTTCTCGTAGATACACATTACAGTATACCAAATAACTTGTGGATCACATATTAAAAATAGTCTATAGGTGTTGAAACTTTTATGATTTTCAAATGATTTGCACAAGGATACCAGCCTCTCATGAATTTTGCTTTGCAGCCAAAATAGCACGCGATGCATTTGTGGTCCCCTGTTTTTGTCACTAAAAGCTTCAAAAAGAACAATAATTGTGATTACTGTAGTGTATCGATACACTATTCAAGGGGAATTATTAGACTACAAAACGCATGGTACATAAATATTAAATTACTTTTCATCCAATTCATAAGTATTGGAGTAAATTGTGCAGACACTATGGAACCAACTTTACAAAATTTCTAATTCTTTTATATCAGGTATTTTTCCTTTTTAATATCTGTATTTATACACTTTGTTTTATTTCCTTCTATTGTGTAGCAGTGTCTGAAATGCTTTGCCGCCACGTAGCATGAAAAGGAATCTTCAAGATTTTAACCCTTGTTTTAGGCAATGCAGTTAATAAAAGTTTTTGAAGTTGCGGCAATGGTAATATATCCACCTGAGGATTTGTTAAATTTGGTTGTTTATCATCGCCTGAAAAGTACAAAAAAACTTGTAAAATTAGTTAAAAAACAATTTTTTCACATACAATACACATTCGTTTTGCAAAATACCTTTTTGATTGTCATTTTCATCCTCAACATCTTCTATTAATTTTAAACAGGGTACCGGTTTTAAAACTGGTATCGAGTCGCCAGTGACTTGTTTACGCATTAGATTACATTGATCAACAAATAATTCTGTAACTCTAAGTAACTCAAGTGTAACACCCCATACAAAATGTGTCAAATTATTTGATAATTCGGTAACTCCTCCAAGCACCATATTATTAGACGTTGCCGACTGAGATATGTAAGTTGGTATAATTAATAGCCTTTTAATATTTTTACAATTTGCAAGACATTTATCAAAGCCATTTTTCACGTCGAAGTTGACCAATTCCATTTGACTCAAATTTTGTAATTTGGATACACCATCCAAAATGTCAAAAGTACAACACAACCCTTGCCCTTTTTCAAGTCTGAGGCGTTCCAATTTTTGTAATTTTATCAGAACTGTAGTACCAAATTTGTCTGGAAAATCTGAACATTCACCCAATTCTAATGCTTCCAAATTCACTAAAGCTTGTATAATATCGATCCTCTTCTTCCCAAGTTCCTTAACTGACGTTAAACTCTAGAATACATATTCAATTTATATACGAAAGGCTCGAAAAACTAGGAATAATACTAAAAAATAACTAACTACACATACCAACTGTGTTAACTGTGTTAGTTCTTGTAAAGGTGTGAGATCTTCTTGTAGAGACATTCCACTTATTGCTTTAAGCCTTAATTCTTGACAACGCTTGAGATTTCCAACAGACTCCAAATTTAAGGAATCACATTTTATTGACATTGCACTCAATACTTCCAACTGAGGACAACTCTTAATAACTTCTTCAACAACCATCACAGGGCATTTACATAATTCTAATTTAACGAGGCTAATTACACGTGGTATTACTAGTAAAAACTTTTTCCAAATGCTATCGGATTCTCCTGCTACAAGCATTTTTCGGAGATCTAAATGTTGAGTACCACGCCTCTGTAATGTATCTGCTAAACCATCCCAGTCTGTTACTTGACTATTTTTCATTCGTACAGTTTTCCACAGTGATGGATGTGCCGCCAAGTCTCGCCACATTTTACATACTCTTGCAGCACGGAGTAATTCTTGAACCTTAAGATATTGGAAAATGCGCAGTAATGCATGATAACCAGCACAAACTGAATCCATAAAATGTTGTTGTTGTTCCGTTTCCTGTTGATTTTGTTTTCTTCTGAAAGTATTAAAATAATATTTTTAAATAATTTCTGTAAAAGATACAGGCCTATATAATAAGGGTATCATATTCTACACATGTATAATGTTGGCTACAATTTTCTTTTAAATAAAAAATTAATTTTACATTACTATAATATGAAATCTTTATAATTTCGAAATTCATTCTCAATACGAATTGAAGAACGTTATAATTTTTTATAGAGGCTTTTAAAGGACCAATGATTTACAACTATAATGCCAACAATTGTATATTATATCAAATAAGAAATGTATAAAAGCCTCTGAAAAAAAATTCAAAGATTGAATATCTGTTTATTTTAAAATAGAATGAAGCCATAGAAACAAAAAACAAACATAAATAGAGGAGGTGGAAAGTAATAAGGAACAAGGATTTTAGGATGTTTTTGGGAAAACGCACTAAGACTTTTTTGTGTTTCAGCTCGCACATGTCTTTATATCTGTAAATATAAAAAGTAAAAATGAATTAGATTTTTTCCACTGAAGCACTTATCAGTAACTGTATTTGCAATTGTAGCATGAATGTAAATAATATATGCAATGATTATCCAATTTTTTGTATACATTTTTAGGAAAAGTTGTTAATTAGAATACAAAGGTTTACTTTGATACTACAATTACACAATACCTGCAAGAACCAACGATGTGATTGTTTCGTTCATTTTTCACATGTCTCAAAAATTTGGCCGCATTTCTAAGAAGCTAAGGCAGTGTGCTTCGATCACAAGATAAAATCAAATTCATTTTTCACCTCGAACTTTTATATTTTCAAATATAATAAACATCGGTATATATTGCATTTACAATACTGTTTATATAAATTTTGTATGAAACGAAAAAAAATATATATACAACTGTGTATATATTATCTTTTTTTTCACAACATTCCACAGTATTATTTTTTAGAAACAGTATTACAAAATTCATAAAAATATTCAAATAAAATGAAATGTATTTCTTAACATGTATATGATACGAAATTAATCATGGAAAAAATATATGTATATCTTGTAAATACAATATGTACAAAGCAACTGCCAAAACCTCAAAAGAGAGTTGCCTTAACTTATTTGAAGAAAATATTTAAAAAAAGGAAGTAAAAGAAATATGTCGATGCGTTGAGAAACAAGTACTTACTTGCTACTTATTTGAACTGTACCCAAACTACTTGTCACAAATTGCTGTGTGTCTACTTTAAGTAAATCATTGTTTGTACTAGTTGTGTTTGAATTATTTATTATAGTCTTCCTTTCGGGTGACATATAACTCACTGATTTTTTGGTTTCTACTGCAAGGTCTCGCGTATTGAACAAATCATTCTGTAATTTATTTGTTTTATCGCTACTATTACATGTTTCTTCAGTTTCCTCCATCACAGCACATGGTGTACATTCTGTTTGTGATACATCTCTCGACATATCTTTGTCAGTTAACTTATCAAGAGCATCTTTCCCCAAAAACTTTGTTGTTAATGGAGTGCGTGATTTTATAGATATAGAATTTTCAACAGTGTTTGATGTATCTGTAAGTGAATTATTCTGAAGTATAGGAGCTTTATCGCCAATTTTAACAGATTTCACTGTTATAGCTGGTTGAACAGCCATAGCATTATTTTTTGGCACAACAATGTATCTTTTGCCTCCCATCAAAGCAATATTCTGGGCTGGTTTTGGTAAAACTCCATCATGACTTTGTAAAAATTCATTTTCTGTTTGAGCAAACCAACTGCTGTCTTTTTTATCCGAATTTAAAGGGGAATGTGATGTTGCAGAGGATGTTTTTGAAACTTTAGTAGTATTTTGAGACTGTAAATCTGTATTATCAGATTTTGGAATTCTTTGAAGTTTTGGTGGATTTAGATTTACTTGATGTTTTGATTTTGCACTTTGTGCACCTAACATACTAATTGGTATCAATGGAGGAGGTGTCAAAGATGGATTTGTTTGAGATTGATGAGATTCATTAGTATCTTGCTGACAGTTCTACAACAAAATTAACATCATTTATTTAAAATGTAATTACTGTCAGCCAGTATGTATCCAACAATTTCTATTTAACTGCTTTGAAATATACTCAATAATAAATAAATGTAAAATAAAACTAGATTCAGCTAAGTGATAAACAAAAACAATATTCAAATAACAGATCTTAGAATGGAGAAACAAACTATATTGTTTAGATGATAAATTATAAAGAAATGTTACAAATATTTAATTTATAACACAAAAACAATTCAACAGATTAAAACAAGCTTAAAAAAAGACTTTTTATTACAAACAACCTACCTTGCAAACATAATCATCACTTCCTGCAAATTCCATACCATCAACACATTCAGGATGATATAAACAGAGACAGACGCGACATTGTAAGCTTGGTATCAACCCCATACTTGTAGAACATCTTATGCTGCATGGTTCTTGAACTTTCGGCCTGTAAGATGTGCGTTGATTGGGGAAAGGGATTAAGGAATCAAACACAAAATTTAAATAAAGGATTTAAGGATAAAGAGGATAAAGGAGAATACAGTTATGAAAAATATAGAAGGAAAGTTTGAACTATCTCAGAATAAAATCTTAAACTTTGTAATTACATATGTTTGCTCTACAGCATGCATTTCAACATTTACTAAAATGATATCTGCTCTAATTTATTTTCTTATTTATAATGTTAAATATGTAGATTTCTTCAAATAAATCATTTAAAATAACATTACTACGTTACGATTAAATGGAACAATTTCGTTACAATGGAAATTGAAGTTAATATTATTTTTTTCAAATTCCAATTTGCTGTAAATTCTTCATTGGGCCTTTTCAAAGCACATTAAACATGATTGTTATGGTGTTTAGCCACTAAGCGTTTAGGATACCCTTGAATATTGCAAATTAATCGCAATCATACAAGTAAAGAACAATTAAAAGAATCAGGTACTTACGTTAATTGCCTTTTGGGTTTGGGGGGCAGTGGTTTTTCTACAGGTAGTTGACTTCGCCTTGTACTCGTAGTCCGTTGAGGTGGAAGCATTTCACTTTCTTGAGGGGGTGACTTTATTTCTGCTATGCATATTTGAACAAAAATTCTGATAAAAATAACAATTTTTCATACGAAAAATTATAAGTAAGCTTATTTATTAATAACTCAGTTTAATTGTCTATTACTTATTAGAATGAATTATTGGATGACACATATAGTATGCCATTTTTCTACTTTTAAAATTGTACAGATCATAAACTTAAATTGAATTACTCTATGTATTACAATTAGTAATAGAAGAAACATTTTTTGCTTAACAAGTGCAACAATTTTATTAATTAATCTTAGCAAATTGATATAACAAGTAGTTAGCAAAATACAAATGATAATAAACACTGCTTCACATTGATATAAATGCATACTTATTTGGGGGGTTTTCTTTGCAGGCACTTTCACTTTAAACCCTGTTGATGCAGCTTTTGGTGATTTAGCAGCTGCTTTTGTAGGCAATGATACAGGTTCTTCTATTGCTCTTCTCCCAGGTGTGCCTTTCTTATATCCTACACCTCTCCTTAGTGGAGTTGTAGCTATTCCAGGTCCCTATATTCAAATTAAAATATTTCAGAAAATTTTTATAGATTTTACATAGATTACAATATTAAGTTGTATACCCTTATTCTTTTTGCATCTCGAATAATCTCCTTTTCAGGATCATCAATACCAATTGGTTCTTTGAAGAATGTAAAGTTATCAATAGTTAACTCTTTTGTATTAACTGTAGAAAGAAAAAAAGACAATATCATTGTATTCACTGTAAAATACATTATTATATTTATATATCATAAATTATACTTACGAAATTCTGCAACTTCTCTAAAACTTCTAACTTTCTTTCCCTTTGGTGTATAATAATAGATATCGGCCATTCTTTTGAGACTAGAATCGCTACTTGCTCTAAATACCAATTCTCGTTTCCAACCATACTTGAACGGTTCTTTGAATGCTGGACATGACATATCAACAGCCATTTTTGGTTTTCCAACACTACCTGGACTGACTCCGCGTGTTATACGTGTACCTTTAGATTTTAAAGATGTTGCTGGACTACTGGCTGATGATGAGTTTGTTGACTTAATTGAAATTTCACCTGTTTTTTGTACTTCTAATTCTGACTCCATACTATTTGGTATTCCAACTGAATCTGTTTCAGATTTATCCGATTCTTTCTCTTTCTTTATTTTATCTAAATCTAATATATGTTCTGTATCATAACTATGCATTCTATTGTCATCCGAATCTTCATCTTCCTTTTTGAAATCAAAATTTTTCCTTATACTATATCTAAAGCGTTTTGCCAATTGAGCTTCTGCTACTTCAGCTTCAGCTGTAATAAATTATGTAAATGTCATCTAATTTTTCCTAAATTGTTTTGTCAGAAAGCTATTTTACTTAAATATATCTATATAACTTAAATAAATGATACTTATCAATTAATGCATATTATTATTATCTTATTTGTATAATACAGCTATGTTTAAAAAAATGCCCCATTATATGTAGATTATACTGACAGATACTAGTCAAAAATGAAATATCACAAAAATTTGTGATTAATATTAAAAAAATTTATGAAATAATTAATCCAAATTATTACCTATCAACAAACAGTATACATCTATAAAAACAATGGTTTATTATAATCTCAATGTAAAATTTTCAGTCCTATAATATATTGTCAAGATATACTATAAATGGTTGATAAACAAGCATATAGCAGACATTTTGAATCGAGTATAATAATAATCACAAATACCAATTAGTTTTTTCAGAACATGACTTCCTGGTTCCATTTCATTATCTCCTTGTGTATCAAAGCCATTGAACTCCATAGATTCCTCTGAGCTAAGATCATCGGGTTCCGATAGCTTCCGTTTGCGTCCTTTTGTATTTAATATTGTATCACTTTCAATGGTACTAGTTGAATTAACCTTGAACTTACATAGCTTTCTTTTAGCATTTGGTACCATACCCTTTTTTGATGAACCTTTCATGTCGCCGTTCACCTCCTGACCATCCATTTTAGTGGCAGTTTCCACTTTATCTTGGGTCTCCTGTAGATCCGGCATACTACCAGTTTCTAGGTTAGGATTCTCGCGTGCCCTTTTTATTAAGACTGGCACGATCCATTGTGCGGCCCCTTTGGGACCAAACACTGATCCTACGTACTTCAACGATCGATGCGTGAGGAACGTTGATCTCGTGCTATTCGTCACTTCGTAAAAGACTCCATTAAACGTTTCTACATACAAGCAACCGTACTACAATCCCCTCGCGTCTGGGTACCACAATCCCGCGCTCATCTGTCCGCGAATGCGCACACCATACGCGCAGGCACCACTACGCGCTATTTACACAACCGTCAGGATTTCACTTTGTATGATTTTGAGCAACTCCTCATTACGCTATCACTCTACACTTATTTTCTTGAACGACTAGAAAAATTGTATTATAAGAAACATTACTAATTTTTCTATAAACGTAATTTAAACCTTCTAAGTGAAAAACAGAGTCCTCAGTAGACACGAAGCGTCCGTGAACCACACAACCGGAAATGGCCGGAAAAAATATGCTAAAGCTTCATTTACAATTTGTGTAATTTACAATACAATATCGCGAACACAATTCTAAATTACCAACGATTAGTATTTAATAACTTACATAATTGTGATACAAAATTTTTGCGAATAATGAATTATTTTGTAGCATTTATATAAAAACTGGCACTTTTATATGTAAATATGCTTATTACAGCGATTAACTTAGTGCAGTAATTATTATTCAATATTTATATATTTTACTCAATATTATTTGACAAATAGTTCATATAACTTTTGTATTACTTATTTTATCTATGCGTATAAAAATATAACCCAACAACATTCAATTTCAGAATATACCTAGACGAGTTAGGTGCACCATAACCAAATTATTGTTTGTGGAAATATAGTGGTGTATATACCATTTTGCAACTACGATATTATATAGTGCAAAATAAAGAAGGCAAAGAAGATCTGTAGCGCATAGTAATAAAAGTTCTTGAAGTAATAGTTTAATGAAGATATTATAGTTTTAATAAAGATAATTACTTAACAATGTTATCGGTTTAAAAAAAAATTCATATCTTCCGCAATTGTATGTACAAGGTAAGCATAAAGTTAATCTGCTTGTCACCGATTTGAAATACAATTCTCTTTTACTAATCTGCTTTTAATAATCAACATTTTTTAATAATAAAACAAATATTTAAATCATATCTATTCGTTTCGTTTATTATATATTACAATTTACTGTCAATCGCAAAATGACAAACAAAGTACACATCAGATAAGCTTACTAAAAAGGAGAAATAGATATTGTATAATGTTTCAATTAATTTGCAATTTTTGTATACTTGTCTATCATAAACATCTAATGTCATCAAGAGTATGAAATATGTATTACTGTATAAATATAATTTTGTATACATACAACAAGACCCATAACTAAATGATTTGATTTTTTTTCATGACAATTTAATAGGATAGATTTTTAATTAATATTATTTCTCAGCTTTATAAGAAATTCTTCATATTACTATAATTCTTCATGAAATAAAATTATATTTATCATTATTTAGAAACAAACACATCCTTCAAATGGAGCGTGTTTTGAAAGCTGTACCAGCAGATTTAAGAGTAAAAATGGAGGCACTTGTGCATGATTTAACTTTGGCATTAGAAGAAAGCAATAATAGTGCAAATGTGAGGCGCAGATGGGGTATTAGAAGAAGAGCCCGTTCCACGGGTAATATTCGTAAGTATAAAGCAACAGAAATATAAAAAGATAAAATTTTTTTGCAATACATATATGAATGTATTATAAGTTAATATGTTACGTAAACATTTCTTAAATAGAGACTAAAATGGATTCATACACGTGCATTCTAATCACATTTCTATGAAATCAGTTCCAGTCTACTTCTACAAGGCAGACAGAGGATTGTTATCAAGATTGTCTTTATAGAAACCATATTTCATTACTCAAAGAAGTCAAATTTTATTAATCTTTGAAAAGTAATTTTTAAAGCTTGAAAAACAATAAAGGAATTTGGAAAATAATCTTTAAATAATTATTTTTCATTTCAGCATCACTTCATGTGCACAAACAATCAGATGACAGTTCATCCTCCATTTGTGACATTCATGTTCCAAAAAATAACGCTTCCGCCAAATATCAATCCGACAGCGATGATACAAATCAAACGAAAAGATTTGCACGTTTTTCTAATTCAAACAATGCTAGTAACATTGAAAGTGATTCAGTCAATGAAAATTTTGTACCTAGAATAAATCCAAGACGTAAAAGAAAATTTAAAAGAATGGCTGTTGACTCTGATTCTAATCCTACAACATCTCAAACAATTGCAATGTCAACAAATCTTGCAAACAAAAAGAGAATTCTTCGAGGTGATTGTAAAAATAGATATGGGACAATATGGTAATGTATATTACAGAAACATGTATCTGTATTTAGTATTTACTGGTACAAAATAAAAATGTAAAATTATAAAAAAATAATGTGTTTCAAAACACCTTTTAACCACAGGTGTGGAAAACGTAAAAGATCTTGTAGAGAGCGATCTACAGATTGTGGAATGAGATCGTTAAAACCAAATACAAATACAAAATCAAAGAATCGCATTAAAATGCAAACGGAAGATGGTATTGATTGCTCAAGAATATCTAGTTCGAGCATTTCGTCTAGCGATTCGGAAGCTGGACTTATCACAAATGATGAAGATCGAGAAGGTATTAAAATATTTATACACAACAGTGAATACTGCAATTAATTATTTCTTGCAATTGTAGGAGATGATGAACAGTCAGATTGGATTGGGGAACCAGGTTGGTGGGATGATGGTGAAAGTACTAATGAAGATAAAGTCAATACTGATTCACCATTTCAAATCATGCTACATGGAAATTTTGAACACACAACAATTGAAACAAGAAAAAGCTACAGAAAAAGAATTCAAAGAATTCGAGAAGGTCTAACTGGAAGAGAAATTCGTGCTGGTCGTCGTCATGTTGATAACAAACCTGGATATTCCATTATCACTTCAGCCAATGAGAAAGTTTCGAGATTTTTACAAGATCCTACTCAAAGTGAACTTAGACTACACCCTATGCGGCAGCCTGAGCGAGAAAAACTTCGCCGGCTTGCAAATTTATATAGCTTAAGTTTAAAAGGAGATCTAGGTTGTCCAATTTTATATAAAACTCGACATACTACACAAGCTATTTGTGTAGATCAAGTATCGCTCAACCGATTTTCAGGTTATAAGAGATTAAGAAGAACCCCACAAAATTCGCCAAATTCAGAATTAATAATGCATAATCAAGAACATCAAATTTCTAGTACAAGCTTTGATTCACCAATCATAAGTCCTATATCAAACTTAGATTCAATGCAAGCTTTACCACAATTTGCTCATTTTAAATGGGATTTGAATAGTATGGATATTGAAATTCATGGAAAACCAAAATTACACGATTTTGACCATTCAAAATCAAGTTAAATTAAATTAAGTTTTTGTTAATTCGTTTTTTGAAATAAATTATTTGTGTATATTCATACTGTACTTTTATACATAACTTTTTTAAATTGTACAATTAGAAACATACAACTGTATTATGTAAAAAATTATGCACTTAATGTAAATTTTTGTGTTG